AGTCCCTGGATCGAGTCTCACATCGGGCTCCCTGCTCGACAGGGAACCTGCTTCTCCCTCTGACCCTCCCCCCTCTCATGTGTTCTCTCTCAAATAAATAAATAAAATCTTTAAAAAAAAAAAAAAGAAAATATTTATCTTGTGAAACATTGCCATTATTCCTGCGATATATTGAAGTAATTATGGCAGAAGGATACTCAGTGAGTATATGAATATACCCAATACCTTCTTTAGCAGTTAATGACTAATATCAGTGCAAGAACTGAGAACACCATAAGAAATGTAGCTTTAGATAGTTAAACTATATGAAGATGTATCATAAAACTTTTAAAAATACATTGTCCTAAATGCTGCCCTTCTCAAACTGCACAGAGCCAGCGAGGGGAGCCAAAGCGAACCCCTAAGGATACCACAGCACATTTTAGTTGTCAGAGGAAACATAGGGACAACTGCCAGGTACCACACACACTGCAGCTCTGAGATAACCCGCTTCAACGTCAGATCTACTTACATCCTTTTGATGACGTTACGTCTTTTTTCCCAGTTTTATTAAGACATAGTTGACGTATAAAATTGTATTAGTTTTAGGTGTACATCATGAAGATCTCATACACGGACATATTATGATAGCATCATATCTTTGTGAAACGTTTTCAGATGTTTCTGTGATAAAGAGAAAGAACTAAACAAGAATCAAAGAAAAACAAGAGAGGAGGGTGGTAGTTCCATTTGATTTTATAGTTCGAGAAGGCATGCAGGGCCCAACAGTCACACACATACTCTTAGTAAATAATTGTAGGCATTTAAGAATAAAATAAAATATTATTTTTCTGGGGCGCCTGGGTGGCTCAGTCGTTAAGCGTCTGCCTTCGGCTCAGGTCATGATCCCGGGGTCGAGATCGCGCCCCGCATCGGGCTCCCTGCTCCGCGGGAAGCCTGCTTCTCCCTCTCCCGCTCCCCCCCGCTTGTGTTCCCTCTCCTGCTGTGTCTCTCTCTGTCAAATAAATAAATAAAATCTTTAAAATATATATATGTATATATAATTTTTCTTTTCACTCTATGTGTATTATTTTTCCAAATGGCTTCTATGACGTTAGGGCATAAATACCTATTAAGTTACTTGGGCCTAAATACTTAATAAAAACAGGTATACTAGGTATTTCTTTTGGCCTAGGGACACAGGGAAAAAATTACCAGAAATTAACAGTACTTGCTGTTTACAGAGACAGTTTGGGAACTTCTGCCTAAATGCTATGAAACTCTAGACATAAACTATACGTCATTATTGCATCTCGGCTCTTTGACAAAATTGAACGAAACAATTTTCATAAAATTTTATTTGAATATCACAAAAAGTATTTAACTTCCAAATATAAAGAAATTCTTAATATTGACCCATTTTTATGAAACTAAATATTGTTAGGCATTGTATAGGATTTTATAAAGATAAACATTAAATCTTTAGTTTAGGAAGAATTAGTTTATCCTTCTATCTTTGGTTTCATATTTCTGTAATTTAAGGAAGCACAGACTTTTAGGCAAAGTGCCTCCTAACTAGCTGCCAAAGAATTTATTTGTATGGAAATTTCTCTGCAGTCCTCTCTCCTGATGCATAAATATCATACATAAAGTTTAACCATGTTCATATAGGAAGAAATACCTGGGCCATGCCAATCAAGCCAAAATCTTTTCTATTTTTTTTTTTTTTTAAGATTTTATTTATTTGCGAGAGAGAGAATGAGAGACAGAGAGCATGAGAGGGAGGAGGGTCAGAGGGAGAAGCAGACTCCCTGCCAAGCAGGGACCCCGATGTGGGACTCGATCCCAGGACTCCAAGATCATGACCTGAGCCGAAGGCAGTTGCTTAACCAACTGAGCCACCCAGGCGCCCCAAAATCTTTTCTAAAATTGCAGGTGTGTGTTTTGTTTTCAATATCCAAACTAGCACCAATTATTCAAATCAGCTTACTCTATGTAAATTAGTCTTTTCAGAAAACCTCCTTAATCCAAGCAGTTATTAAGTGAAATGGGATTTACCTCAACTAATGTCTGCACAAAGAGGGGAAACACACACGAGGGAAACCCTATCATAGTTCGAGGAACTGCGTTCTCCTTTGTTTACTTATAATCCCTCCTCTGGCAAGAACAATGAGCAGGGTATACGTATGCATGCATGTATGTGTTTATTTTAGAGAGGTGGGAGAGGGAGGAGCATATCTTAAGCCTGCTTCACGCCAAGTGCAGAGCCCAGAGCCCGACACGGCGCTCTAGCTCACGACCCTGAGGTCATGACCTGAGCCAAAATGAAGAGTCAGATGCTTAACCGACTGAGCCACCTGGGCACCCCATATAATTATTTTCTTGACTGTCATTTTTATAGTTTTAATGTGATCCTGCATCTTAAGAAAAAGAGAAGAAGCATACAAAGAAGGAGCCCTTTTTTTTCTATACCACTCTAGCTTAGTGATTAAGAAAGGGAGACATCAATTTTACCACTAATTTCCAAAGGGACATATTTAAGGAAACCTGTACCTTTGTGGTTGGAAAGTAGGATAGACCGATTTTCCAACTGGTGTGACTAGTTCACTGCTCAAAATCAGAAAGAATTTTCACTAGAGAATAGATAACCAACTTGGATTCCCCCCCCCCCCCATTAAATAGCAATGCATTTTTTAAAAGTAAGAGCCCTCAAGAAGATTTATAATCTTGGGACATGAATCAAGCACAGGTTTGACAGTATTAAACTAAAGAAGTTTAACTGGGAGGTAAAGGTGAGAGTTTTGATGTCTGTTTGAAAAAAGTCTCAGTTGCTATATGTCATAATTAAAGAATAGCCTGAGAGAAAACCACTAACATTTGGAACAAATCCACAGTCACTGGTGACAGACTTACATTCTTTTATTTATGTTCAGACCTTGCATGTGCTAATTGAAAGCTGACAAACAAAAGCCTTATCACCTGGAAGCCTGGGGAAATGAGTTCTTCTCACTAAGTCCCTTTGAAGGTAGTGGCTCAGATCCTATACTCAATAGACAGTGACACTTAATTTGGCAGATCCCGGTTTTAGGAACCCGAGAGAATAATACTGTACCGGTAACACAAGGTACACAACTGAGGTTGCGTCAGGGTGGAATTCACTTCGTCAAAATGTCATATGCAGCCTAAGTCAGAAGCCAGGGTGAGGCTGGTGCAAGGCAGATTTTGAGGAAAATGACAGGATTGATGTTTCTGTTTCTCGCTATTTTAATTTTTCTAACACTTACATTTTGCCAAGTGATTTTTCTTTATTACTTTAATATATGAGACATTCATTCCAGATTCTAAATAAGCATAAATAAACCTGAAACACATACTAATTGTCACACCTATATGCCACATATCACCATCCTCCCAGTCTCAGATGAACTCTGCTAAAGGAAAGACAAGATGATATTTTTGGTCCCCCTGACTTTTTGAATAATCAGCGCATAATAAACTGCGAGGCCTAAGTAAAAGTCACCCATAAAAAATGGGAACAAAATTAGAAAAGTCATCCTCTGCAACTGAAATTTATATTAATTAATGTGGAATGAATGGGATTAGCCTTCTGCAGGAATGACCATTGAGAGGCATTTTGAAATGAGTTGTACAAAAGATCAGGGTGTCTCTAAATCTCCTTAGGTCCCCAGTCCAAGTACAAATCACTATAGCCTGGGCTTTGACCTTGGATAACCTGGATGACTACATGCTTATAATAAATGCAGACACGATGATGTGGCACTGTGCATGAAGTTTAGAAAATGTAACGTCGAAGAAGAATAATTTGTTGGGGTTTATTTAGAGAGGCCTGGAAGACAGGTGTTTAGAAATACATACTCAGAGGTAAAGAAAGCAGGAGTGATTCTCTAGTTTTTGCCACAACCCCAAGAAATACCCTCCAAGGCTACTCAGTTTATTGTTCTCTCATCTTATACGTCCATGTTCGCCTCACAACGCCTTGAGAGCAACTTGGATTCCTGGGAAGTTTGATAATAGGAAGGGCTGCCTTCAGTGAGGGTTTCCTAGTGACAAGAAAGGCAAATCCCCACTGAATATTAAGTTAGCGCTTGTTTATAAATAAATCCATGAGTTAGCCTGAAGTCAGTCCCCAGGAGCTCATCATTCCTAAGTAAACTGAGAGCATCAAGTTTCTTGAAACTGGATTTGGGACCCACCGGGCTTTCCTATCAGTCCACAAAAGAACCCTGCTTGAGCAAATGTGCGAAATGGTTCAAAAGGAACGCATGGAGCATGTCACTATACATTTGTCAAAACCCATAGAATGTACCACACCAAGAGTGAACCCTAATGTAAACTACGGTCCTTAGGTGATAATGATGTGTCAGCATAGGTTCATTGATGGCAACAATCATACCCCTCTAGCGCAGACTGTTGACAGCAGGAAAAGATGTGCTTGTGGGAGCAGGGGATATAGGCTACTTTCCATTCAATTTTGCTGTGGACCTAAAACTACTCTAAAAAGTAGTCTACTTGCAAAAAGAAAAAGTGATGCATACATCCAGAATGAGTTAAGACACACACTTTGGAGGCCAAAAGACCTGGAGGAAAATCCTGACACTGGCCCTGGATGGGTGACATCTGTCCTCGCTGACCTTCAGCCTTTTTATCTGTAAAATGGAGGAAATGAATGCATACCTTTGGTGTTATGACAGTTACATGAAATCCTTCATGTAAAGCATGTAGAAGGACACCTGGCACAGAGTAAGATTTCATCATTCCCATGCTCTGCCCAAAATAAATCCTAAAAGTTAGAAGTTATTCCTCCTACCAAAACGTCTACAGTTCACTCTGACTACTCTGAGAGCCTAAGGCACACAGAGTAAAAAGCAGGACATGGCTGCTATGAGACCAGGCCCCCGGAGAAAGCCGGCATCCCCAGGTAATGAGTTGTTAGGGTTAAAAATTCTGCAAAGCATATTGGCTGCATCAAACTTTCTTATTAAAACATTTGATGTACAGGCACCTGGCTGGCTCAGTCGGTGGAGCACGTGACTCTGGATCTTGGGGTTGTGGGTTCAAGCCCCATGTTAGGTGCAGAGATTACTTACAAATAAAATCTTTAGGGGCACCTGGGGGGCTCAGTCGGTTAAGCATCTGCCTTCGGCTCAGGTCATGATCTCAGGGTCCTGGGATTGAGCCCCGCATCGGGCTCCCTGCTCAGCATGGAGTGTGCTTCTCGTTCTCTGTCTGCCCCTCCCCCTGCTCATGCATGCTCTCCCTCTCTCAAATAAATATGTAAAATCTTTTAAAAAATAAAATAAAATCTTTTTAAAAAGCACATTTGAGGGGCGCCTGGGTGGCTCAGTCGGTTAAGCGTCTGCCTTCGGCTCAGGTCATGATCCCAGGGTCCTGGGATCGAGCCCCGCATCAGGCTCCCCGCTCCACAGGAAGCCTGCTTCTCCCTCTCCCACCCCTCCTGCTTGTGTTCCCTCTTCCGCTGTGTTTTTCCCTGTCAAATAAATAAATAAAATCTTTTAAAAAAAATAAAAAGCACATTTGATGTCAACTTTATTATCTGGAATCTAAACTATGTGCCAGACATTGTCTTAAATGATGGAAATACAGAAATTAATAAGGTACGTGTTCTATCCTCTAGGGACTCAAAGAACAGTGAAGAAAACCAATGATTCTTAAAAATATACCATAAAAGGTGCAGTGGAACCCCACCCCACTCCAAAAAAAAAAAAAAATTCTTCCCTGGTCAGCAAACAAAAAAGTTTCTAAAGAGGAAGTAACAGGTGAGTCTTGAGAAATACTGCAGCTCAGAAAATGCTCAAGGAAAAGAAATTCAATGAACAAAGACCAAATCGTAATGAGTTTGCAATTTTCATGTGAGGAATTGGAGCAATATAAGTCAAAGAGGCAAAGCACTAATTTTAGGGGATGCTAATAAGAATTACTGTTTAAAAAAAAAAAAGTATTCCATAATCTAATAGGTCCAGCACATGCTGGGTTTAAAAACATGAACAATGACAAATAGATTTCTTTACTGCAGGATTTTTTCGCACTTTTAACATGCAAATGTATATTGCAAAGAATCTGTACTCAGAAAACTATAAAATACTCATGAAAGAAATTGAGGAAGACACAAAGAAATGGAAATATATTCATGCTCATGGATTGGAAGAATAAATATTGTGAAGATGTCAATGCTACCTAGAGCAATCTACACATTCAATGCAATCCTATCAAAATACCATCCACTTTTTTCAAAGAAATGGAACAAATAATCCTAAAATTTGTATGGAACCAGAAAAGACCCCGAATAGCCAGAGGAATGTTGAATAAGAAAAGCAAAGCTGGCGGCATCACAATTCCGGACTTCCAGCTCTATTACAAAGCTGTCATCATCAAGACAGTATGGTACTGGCACAAAAACAGACACATAGATCAATGGAACAGAATAAAGAGCCCAGAAATGGACCCTCAATTCTATGGTCAACTAATCTCCGACAAAGCAGGAAAGAATGTCCAATGGAAAAAGAAGAGTCTCTTCAACAAATGGTGTTGGGAAAATTGGACAGCCACATGTAGAAGAATAAAACTGGACCATTTCCTTATACCACACAGAAAAATAGACTCAAAATGGTTGAAAGTCCTAAATGTGAGACAAGAGTCCATCAAAATCCTAGAGGAGAACACAGGCAGCAACCTCTTCAACCTCAGCCACAGCAACTTCTTCCTAGACACATCGCCAAAGGCAAGAGAAGCAAGGGCAAAAATGAACTATTGGGACTTCATCAAGATAAAAAGCTTTTGCACAGCAAAAAGCTTTGGTCAACAAAACCAAAAGAACAAAACCAAAAGACAACCGACAGAACTGGAGAAGATATTTACAAATGACATATCAGATAAAGGGCTAGTATCCAAAATCTATAAAGAACTTATCAAACTCAACACCCAAAGAACAAACGATCCAATCAAGAAATGGGCAGAAGACATGAACAGACATTTCTGCAAAGAAGACATCCAAATGGCCAACAGACACATGAAAAAGTGCTCAACAACCCTCAGCATCAGGGAAATCCATATCAAAACCTCAATGAGATACCACCTCACACAGGTCAGAATGGCTAAAATTAACAAGTCAGGAAACGACAGATGTTGGCGGGGATGCAGAGAAAGGGCAACCCTCCTACACTGTTGGTGGGAATGCAAGCTGGTGCAGCCACTCTGGAAAACAGTATGGAGGTTCCTCAGAAAGTTGAAAATAGAGCTACCATACGACCCAGCAATTGCACTACTGCGTATTTACCCCAAAGATACAAATGTAGGGATCCGAAGGGGTACGTGCACTCCGATGTTTAGAGCAGCAATGTCCACAATAGCCAAACTATGGAAAGAGCCAAGATGTGCATCGACAGATGAATGGATAAAGAAGATGTGGTGTATATAAACAATGGAATATTATGCAGCCATAAAAAGGAATGAAATAAAAAAAAAGGAATGAAATCTTGCCATTTGCAACGACGTGGATGGAACTAGAGGGTATTATGCTGAGTGAAGTAAGTCAATCAGAGAAAGACATATATCATATGATCTCACTGATATGAGGAATTCCTAATCTCAGGAAACAAACTGAGGGTTGCTGGAGTGGTGGGGGGTGGGAGGGATGGGGTGGCTGGGTGATTGACATTGGGGAGGGTAAAAATAAATAAATAAATAAATAATGACAAATAGATTTCTTAACGCAGGATTTCTTAGCACTTTTAACATGCAAATGTATATTGCGCACCTCCAAGAGGAGAATTTGAAGTGGGACATTTTCCAAACTTATCTGACTCAGAACCTCTTTTTTCATGCTCCTCACAGGATAGGTCATTGAATCCATTCTAGGATATGAGGTTGCTGTCTAAGAAGAGTCAATAGGAGTCTCAGCAGGAGAATAGAGTGAGCAAATTCCACATGCAGATCCCAGCGATCTGTAGAATAAAGTGCAAACTCCTCGTCCTGCCCTCCCAGCTGGGCCGCATACCACCTCTTCATCCACACTATTCAACTCCCTCCCTCTGTGTTCTCAAACCCTGGAAAACTGGGCATTTCCTTTTCTCCTAAGCATGTTTTAAATTCGCTTGCTTCTGAGCTCTTGAATGGTCTCCTTTTGAAATTCTACTCATCTTTCGGGATACATCTCGAAGACTACTTCTTCAATCAAGTCTTTCATGATCCCCCGAAATCATGTTAAAAACATTCCCTGTAGGTGTTGCTTTTATTTCTGGTCAGCCCATATTTCACTCTATTTTGTCTAACAGATGGCAGTGCTCATGTGCAGTGGAAGAAAGCTGGGGGTGGGGGACGCAGGTGACCGCTTGCAAGAACCACCCAAGTACCAGTTCCAAATTTTTCCTTCTATATCACTGCTTCCTCTTCCTTCGCCCAGTAACTGCCCTACCTCACCCACCCACCCACCCACACACACACACACAGAGCAAAGGGTACCAAAATCTCACTCACTTCACACAAATGTGCAGAGAAATTTCAGCTTCGTTATTTTGTCTGTAACCGATCTAATCTTCCCCATTAGCACCCACCTGCTGAGTAGTGATAAAAGCTGAGTTTATTCCAATCTTGTAAATGAATCTACCTTTTTCTAGAGAACCCAGTCTTTTCTGGATAAATGTCCAGTCTTTCACAGGACCTCTCTCTTCCTTGTCTTTTGCAAGAGGACATCTGGGCATATAAGGTGTGTTTCCTGTGTCCTCCTGACAGTAGGGGGAGGTCTGGGATTGATATTCTCCATCCTCATGCTTTTCTCTGGACTGGCAATCACAGACACACCACTGAGCCTGTCCCTGGGTGTTCTGCTGTTAAATCTGGCAGCTGTTAAATGCAGCACGTGGTAGGATTCATGGTCTGCCCTCTTTCTGTTTCCTTAAGCCCTCCCTCATGGTCTGATTTAAGCCCATCTTCTCTCAGTGAAGCAGTCGGTCCTGGCTCAGCTAGTTTATCCGTGACTCCCAGCTGTAAGGACACCTCCCCTCTGCCACAGCAACCCTTGGCATCCCAGAATCTCACCTCATTTACTCTTCCTCCCTCCGCTCTGGGGCCTGCAAGATAATCTGGGACTCCCCCCAATAGGACTGGAACAAAAAGACAGCTTGGGAGAGCTAAAGTCGGTAGGTGCTCAATAAAAATTTAAATTCTAAGAAGAAAATTTGTACACATTTTAATGTTACCAGTTCCTGTGATACCATTTTCAAGAAGCTCTTGCTAAATGAAAATATAAATTTTATCCAAAGATGTCAATGTTTCTTATAACCATTTTAACATATACAAATTTGATTCCTTACTTGTTTCAACTTATCATCACCATCCATTTTACAGGATCATCATTTTACAGTAACAAGACACCAACCCTCAGATACTTTAAATTTTAAGAAAAATAATCATGATATAGATATATGAATGAGGAATAAACAAGAGCACCATTTGCGCAGGAGCAAGGCTCCTACCAACAGTTAAAGTTTAAGAAAAATAATCATGGTATAGATTAAAATGAGGAACAAGCAGACAAGAATACTTGAACAAAATGTAACCTTTAAATCAGCAGGAAGGTCAAGACACAGAAACAGTCTGCGAGTGAGATGAGGGAAGCAAAAGCGTGAGACAAGTGAACTTTGGAATGTAGACAAAGGAGGATCAGGGAGTTTCTGTCATTGGTTATTCTCCATAAAGGTAACAGTACAACATTATTCAAAGGACATTAAGCAACTCTAAGAGTGACCTTAAGCTCTTCTCCAAATATGAGACTATCTGAATGAAATCCAAACCGACAGAATCTTTCAAATAGTTTAAAACATAGGTTCAGAATAAACAAAATTAAAGAGAAAAGAAAATTAATCCCTTTCTAATACACTAATCACATCTTCTCTTACTCTTCTGTATTAGTTCACAGGTCAGAGATTGGCTTCCAGCTTCCTGCTAATTGTGACATTAGCAGAATGTAACGCTTGCTTTTGAAGGAAAGAGAAATCCAGACAGCTTTTAGCATTTGAGTAATTAATCATTTAGTAGGTAGTAGTGGATGTTGAGTC